ACAGAAAAGAAATGTGTAATGGTATCACCATGGGAAAGAAAACCCAGCTAGATCCTGGAGTGTCCAGCAGAAACCCAGAAGGAGGTGATTAGGGCAGGCAAGGCGACTAGCGGAGAGGAAGCCAAGAATGCCTGGGAACGTTGCGGTGAATTCATTAAAAGTGAAACCTGTAGAAAATGCTTAAGGTCGTTAAAGCGGAAAACGAAGTTGATTAAAACTAGCAAATGGTGGGAAACACAACAGGAAATGGGAGCTGAAAGACGGACAAGACCGATTGTGTGAGGAGGGTGAAGGAAGGTGTATAGAGAGTGTAAAAGTTCCAGAAAATAATCAGCTTTGTTCAATCAAATATGACACCGGAAACGATGGTATATAACATGGCGGTTTCGTTTCATCAAGCTGCAGATCCTGTTTGCCTTCTCGTGTGATGAAAGGTACCCGTGACTGTTGGCTTTTTATACTGATGTCGGGTCCTACCTCCACTTCGAGTACTGGTAATAACATGCATACATGTTTAATCTAACGCCAGTGCGGTATTGTAAACGCCGGATGTAATCATTTGCGAAATATGTGTTCAGGGCAAAATGTGTACAACAAATAATTTGTCTTTATGATATGTGTGATTGCCAAGTCGGACGTCCAACTGCTGACGTTTTCAAGATGGCAAGGACTACTAACGAGTACAGACATTCAGGTATTGTTTTGCACAGCCGGTATCAAATGCTCCGTTATGACACAAGACAGACGTTGGCGGTATGGGATTTGGGAGGTGAAAACTTGTGCCCGAACAATAATGCTGGGTGCAATCTCTGCCGGAATATTCTGCCCTTATCAGTACGTGTTTATGAGTGCTCTTCAAATGGGCCCGGCGGCAGATGCGCTGGACCAAAATGGGAGCTAAGTCGGAGTTAGGTAGGCGTTATCGTGAGTGCGTATCCACATTGGGTACGGTCGTGGTGGGTCCCCACGGTCTCCGCGGCTCAAACGACAATGGTCTGCTGCTTCTCCGCACCTGCGCAGTACACCGCCTCATCCTGACGAACACCTTCTTCTGTCTGCCGGAGCGAGAGAAGGCCACCTGGAGGCATCCTCGGTCGCGCCAGTGGCACCTGCTGGACTATGTCCTCGTCCGGAGGCGAGATCAGCGCGACGTGCTGGTGACGAAGGCGATCGCGGGTGCTGACGGGTGGACCGACCATCGCCTCGTCATCTCGAAGATGCGTATTCGCCTACAGCCTCGCAGGAGACCACAAGGTAAGCGACCCCCAGGTAAGCTGAATGTTGCCTTGTTGTCTTTGCCCGCTCACCATCTTCATTTCAGCAATGAGCTAGCTCAAAGGCTAGACAACCTTCCTATCGCTGCCGCCGCCGCCAACGACGCCGCCGCCAACGACGCCGCCGCCGCTGCCGAGAACGCCTCCGTGGAGAACCGCTGGTGTCAACTGCGAGACACGGTCCAGTCGACGGCGCTCGCCGTCCTCGGTCGCGCTCCCCGCCAACACCAGGACTGGTTCGACGACAACGACGCCGCCATCAGAAATCTGCATGCTGAGAAGAAGGGCCTCCACAAAGCCTACGTAGATCTACCCACTGAGGACAACAAAGCTGCCTTCTACCGCAGTCGCCGCCAACTTCAACAACGACTGCGCGAGATGCATGACGCCTGGACTGCTCGCAAAGCAGAGGAGATCCAAGGGTACGCGGACCGCTACGAATGGAAGAGCTTCTTCTCTGCGATCAAAGCTGTCTACGGTCCGCCGACGAAGGGCACTGCTTCTCTCCTCAACGCCGACGGCAACACTCTCCTGACTGAGAAGACGCAAATCCTGCAGCGATGGGCCGAGCATTTCCGAGGCGTCCTCAACCGCCCCTCCGTCATCTCCGACGCCGCCATCGAGCGTTTGCCGCAAGTGGAGACAAACGTGGACCTCGACCTCCCGCCATCTCTCCAGGAAACCATCAGGGCCGTGCAGCAGCTCTCCAGCGGGAAAGCACCCGGATCGGACGCAATCTCTGCTGAGGTCTACAAGCACGGAGGTCCCCAATTGATGAATCACTTGACTGCGCTCTTCCAGGAGATGTGGCGTCAAGGTGAAGTCCCGCAAGATTTCAAAGACGCAAACATCGTGCGCAAAGGGAATCGCCAAGTCTGCGACAGTCACCGCCGCATCTCCCTACTGAACATCGGAGGGAAGATCTTCGCTCGCATCCTGCTCAACCACCTCAATAACCATCTGGAACAGGGCCTTCTGCCGGAAAGCCAATGCGGCTTCCGTCATCATCGTGGGACTACGGACATGATCTTCGTCGCCCGTCAACTTCAGGAGAAGTGTCAGAAGATGCGGACCCACCTATACTCTACCTTCGTGGACCTGACGAGAGCCTCCGACACGGTGAATCGTGAAGGAATGTGGAAGATCATGCAGAAATTCGGCTGTCCGGAGCGATTCACTCAGATGGTGCGTCAGCTGCACGACGGTATGATGGCGCGAGTCACGGACAATGGAGCTGTCTCAGAGGCATTCGCAGTGACCAACGGAGTGAAGCAGGGCTGTGTGCTGGCGCCTACCCTCTTCAGTCTCATGTTCTCTGCCATGCTGATGGACGCCTACCGCGACGAACGCCCCGGGATCCGCATCGCCTACAGGACGGACAGTCACCTGCTGAATCAACGGCGTATGCACTGCCAATCGCGCGTATCCACAACCACCGTTCACGAACTCCTCTTCGCCGACGACTGCGCCCTAAACAGCACCTCGGAAGAGGAGATGCAACGGAGCATGAACCTGTTCTCCGCCGCCTGCGAGAACTTCGGTCTGGTCATTAACACGCAGAAGACGGTGGTGATGCACCAACCGCCACCCAACTCAGCCACAGCCCCCAACGCGCCGCCGCAAATCAGCGTGAACGGAACCCAACTGCAGGTGGTGGAGAACTTCCCATACCTGGGCAGTACTCTCTCCCGCAACACCAAGATCGACGACGAAGTCGCCAACAGGATCTCGAAAGCCAGTTAAGCCTTCGGTCGCCTCCAAAGCACAGTTTAGAATCGCCACGGTCTTCAGCTGAGCACCAAGCTGAAGATGTACAAGGCCGTCATCCTGCCGACACTACTGTATGGAGCGGAGACTTGGACGGTGTACGCAAAGCAGGCACGTCGTCTGAACCACTTCCACCTCAGTTGTCTTCGTCGCATCCTGAGGCTAACGTGGCAGGATCGAATCCCCGACACTGATGTGCTGGAACGGACGGGAATCCTCAGTATCTACGCCATACTGAGGCAAATTCAGCTGCGCTGGAGCGGCCACCTGATGCGCATGGACGACGAGCGACTACCCAAACGATTCTTCTACGGAGACGTCGCGACGGGTTCTCGCCGCCAATGAGGCCAGATTCGCCGTTACAAGGATACTCTGAAGTCCTCCCTGAAATGCTTGCAAATCAACCCGACCAACTAGGAGGAGCTCGCACTCGATCGGCCGACCTGGAGGAGGACAGTGAAGACAGGCACTGCGATCTACGAAGCCAAGCGCATCGCTGCCGCCAAATCGAAACGTTAAGCCCGCAAATCACAACTTCGCCCAGTAAGCAACGCCGCCGCACAACCGCTTCCAACGTGTTTTCGATGTCAACGGACATTCCGGGCTCGAATCGGACTTGTTGGACATCTTCGGATTAACTGCGCCTCTCGAACGGCACCAACCATCGTCCCCCCGCCTGCCTCTTCCTCCTCCTCTCCGCCGCCAACTAACCCTGACAATTCTTCTGACCCACCACTTCCATCATCCTCCTCCTCCTCCTCCTTCTTCTCCTCCTCCTCCTCCTCCTCGCCCAGTGCTCCAACGGCGGCCGCTCAGGCGACTGTCCCGCGCACAGCAACCGACACTACCACCACCTCCCCCAACTCCAGGGATGAGGATCAGGACTACACCTGCCCTCACTGCGACCGTACCTTCACCTCACACATCGGCCTGGTCGGCCACTTCCGAATCCATCGCACAGAGCCTGGCGAACCGGTGCGTGAAGCACCAACCTACACCCACCGCACTCGCCTCCACTGCCCACACTGCCCTCGCACCTTCAGGCATCGCATGGGCCTTTTCGGCCACATGCGCATCCACGAGAGCGGCCTTGACCGCACTCCCGACACACCCACCACATCCAACACATCCACCGTGCACACCCCACCCTCGTTCCATCCGTCCGCGCCACCACCACCGCCTCCGCTGTAGCTGACATTGACATCGCCGACTTCTCATGCCCACACTGTCCACGCAAATTCACCTCACGCATCGGCCTGGTCGGTCACTTGCGAATCCATCGCACAGAGCCTGGCGAACCAGTGCCTGGAGCACCCACCTATACCCACCAAGCTCGTCTCAACTGCCCAAACTGTCCTCGCACTTTCAGGCATCGTATGGGCCTATTCGGCCACATGCGCATCCACGACGACCTGCGGTAGACAACCGCCGGCCACACCACACATTCACTCACTCCCTACCTCCTTCACCACCACCATCACCCCACCAGAAATCAACACTCACACACCTCATGCACCCAACTGTCACCTCCCACGCAAGTGGGAAGTCCGCATCTCGACTCGGTCCCCATGCGGCTTCGGCTGCACGGGTGACTTGAGTCCGAGACTATCCCGACACGTCAAGCGCCGTGGATAGGAAGGTTGCTGATTGACGCCCGCTCTCGATTTACGCAGTTCGTCGCGTTGTGTGTGTGTGTGTGTGTGTGTGTGTGTGTGTGTGTGGGGTGTAGGGGTGTCAGCGGTGGGTCCACGTGATGGTCGTAGTGGTCGCTCACTTGCTTGCAGGTGAGACTACGCCTAGCGTCCATTTGCTGGCACCTAACTCTCACCTGTGGCTCCACGTAGCTGGGCTCTGCTCAGCGGCCACACCCCGGGCAACCGTCTCGACCGGCGGGCTAAACCAGGTGAGGGTATCCGTGCGTGCACTTGCACGCGCGGTACTGTGGTCTGCGCTGGCCGGATGGATCTTCGCGTCGACATCGTCGAGACGAGGCTCTGCCTGGACCATCGCAGGAGGCCACCAGGTAAGTTCCCCCTCAGGTAAGTGCGTTTGCTTTGTTTCTTCCTTTTGTTTGTTGAAGTTCCGCGTCGTACGCTGCGCTTGCTGCCTGCCCTTTATATGCTAGTCTGTCTGTTAATAGCTAAACGACACCCTCGATGCCTGCTGCGATTGTCTGTCCGTCAGTCTATGACACTCTCTACTAATAGCTAGGTGTTACGGTGCTTGACTTTGTGTGGTGCCCTCACTTTATCTCTGACTGGTGACTGTGTCTGCTTGTCCACTCTAGTTCTAAGTCCCATTGCGTTAGGTAGTGTGTATGCTCTCTCCTACTTCACTCCATCACATCATCACCTCACCACCAAGGTCCCAGGCTAATTCGGGTCGTTCTCTCACTAACAAAAAGTCGTGGCCCATAATGGAGTCCGGCAGCCGTCTGGGATAACCGGGCAGCCCTGTTCAGGGATGCGTTGCCTGCCCCCGCGAGGGGGAGGCGGCTAGAAAAGGTGCCCTAAAGATCGCTGGGAACCACGCTGTCTGTAGGCTGGCCGTGGCCGCAGACAAAAAACACACGGTCGAAACAGCCAAAACCGAAACAACAACAACAACAATCGCTCTCTTCCTCTTCCAGCCTATTCTTCTTCTTCTCCTACTCCTACTTTTCGCCGCCGCAGTCGCCAGACTGGCAGGGTGAGCCCGCTCACTCTGGCAGCCTGGAATGTTCGTTCCCTTTTAGACAATCCGAGGAGCAACCGACCGGAACGGAGGACGGCGCTAGTGGCACGAGAACTGGCGCGCTGCAAGGTGGACATCGCCGCACTCAGCGAGACCCGATTCTCCGAACAAGGCCAACTGGAGGAGGTGGGTGCCGGCTACACCTTCTTCTGGAGTGGTCGACCCAGGGCATAGCGACGAGACGCGGGTGTCGCCTTCGCCATCCGGACCGACATCGTGGGACGACTGCCCTGTTTGCCGCAGGGAATCAACGACCGCCTAATGAGCCTCCGTCTGCCCCTCCGGCGAGGAGGCAAGTTCGCCACCATCATCAGCGCCTACGCTCCGCCGATGACCAGCCCCGACGCCGTCAGAGACAAATTCTACGAGGACCTGCACGCCCTCTTGGCGACTGTGTCGAAGGCGGACAAGTTGATTGTCCTTGGTGACTTCAACGCCCGCGTCGGCACAGACCATACTGCCTGGAGGGGAGTGCTGGGTCCCCACGGTCTCCGCGGCTCGAACGACAACGGCCTGCTTCTCCTCCGCACCTGCGCAGAACACCGCCTCACCCTGAAAAATACCTTCTTCTGCCTGCCGGAGCGAGAGAAGGCCACCTGGAGGCATCCTCGGTCGCGTCAGTGGCACCTGCTGGACTATGTCCTCGTCTGGAGGCGAGATCAGCGGGACGTGCTGGTGACGAAGGCGATCGCGGGTGCTGATGGGTGGACCAATCATCGCCTCGTCATCTCGAAGATGCGTATTCGCCTACAGCCTCGCAGGAGACCACAAGGTAAGCGACCCCCAGGTAAGCTAAATGTTGCTTTGTTGTCTTTGCCAGCTCACCGTCTCCATTTCAGCAATGAGCTAGCTCAACGGCTAGACAACCTTCCAATCGCTGCCGCCGCCAACGACGCCGCCGCCGCTGCCGAGAACGCCTCCGTGGAGAACCGCTGGTGTCAACTGCGAGACACGGTCCAGTCGACGGCGCTCGCCGTCCTCGGTCGCGCTCCCGGCCAACACCAGGACTGGTTCGACGACAACGACGCCGCCATCAGAAATCTGCTTGCTGAGAAGAAGGGCCTCCACAAAGCCTACGTAGATCTACCCACTGAGGACAACAAAGCTGCCTTCTACCGCAGTCGCCGACAGCTTCAGCAACGACTGCGCGAGATGCAGAACGCCTGGACTGCTCGCAAAGCAGAGGAGATCCAAGGCTACGCGGACCGCAACGAATGGAAGAACTTCTTTTCTTCGATCAAAGCTGTCTACGGCCCGCCGACGAAGGGCACTGCTCCTCTCCTCAGCGCCGACGGCAGTACTCTTTTGACTGAGAAGACGCAAATCCTGCAGCGATGGGCCGAGCACTTCCGAGGCGTCCTCAACCGCCCTTCCGTCATCTCCGACGCCGCCATCGCCCGCTTGCCGCAAATGGAGACCAACGTGGACCTCAACTTCCCGCCATCTCTCCAGGAAACCATCAGGGCCGTGCAGCAGCTCTCCAGCGGGAAAGCACCCGGATCGGACGCAATCCCTGCTGAGGTCTACAAGCACGGAGGTCCCTACAGATGGATCACCTGACTGCGCTCTTCCAGGAGATGTGGCGTCAAGGTGAAGTCCCGCAAGATTTCAAGGACGCAGCTATCGTACACCTATACAAGCGAAAAGGGAATCGCCAAGTCTGCGACAACCACCGCGGCATCTCCCTACTGAACATCGCCGGGAAGATCTTCGCTCGCATCCTGCTCAACCGCCTCAACAACCATCTGGAACAGGGCCTTCTGCCGGAAAGCCAATGCGGCTTCCGTCGCCATCGTGGGACCACGGATATGATCTTCGCAGCCCGCCAACTCCAGGAGAAGTGCCAGGATATGCGGAACCACCTATACTCTACCTTCGTGGACCTGACGAAAGCCTTCGACACAGTGAATCGTGAGGGACTGTGGAAGATCATGCAGAAATTCGGCTGTCCGGAGCGATTCACTCAGATGGTGCGTCAGCTGCACGACGGTATGATGGCGCGAGTCACGGACAACGGAGCTGTCTCAGAGGCATTCGCAGTGACCAACGGAGTGAAGCAGGGCTGTGTGCTGGCGCCTACCCTCTTCAGTCTCATGTTCTCTGCCTACCGCGACGAACGCCCCGGGATCCGCATCGCCTACAGGACGGACAGTCACCTGCTGAATCAACGGCGTATGCACTGCCAATCGCGCGTATCCACAACCACCGTTCACGAACTCCTCTTCGCCGACGACTGCGCCCTAAACACCACCTCGGAAGAGGAGATGCAACGGAGCATGGACCTATTCTCCGCCGCCTGCGAGAACTTTGGGCTGGTCATCAACACGCAGAAGACGGTGGTGATGCATCAGCCGCCTCCCAACTCAGCCACAGTCCCCAACGCGCCGCCGCAAATCAACGTGAATGGGACTCAACTGCAAGTGGTAGAGAACTTTCCGTACCTGGGCAGCACGCTGTCCCGCAACACCAAGATCGACGACGAAGTCGCCAACAGGATCTCGAAAGCCAGTCAAGCCTTCGGTCGCCTCCAAAGCACAGTTTGGAATCGTCATGGTCTCCAACTGAGCACAAAGCTGAAGATGTACAAGGCCGTCATCCTGCCGACGCTACTGTACGGAGCGGAGACCTGGACGGTGTACACGAGGCAGGCACGTCGACTAAACCACTTCCACCTAAGCTGTCTCCGCCGCATCCTGAGGCTGAACTGGCAGGACCGCATCCCCGACACCGAAGTGCTAGAACGGACGGGAATTCTAAGCATCTACTCCATGTTGAGACAAATGCAGCTTCGCTGGAGCGGCCACCTGGTGCGCATGGATGACGAGCGTCTACCCAAACGACTCTTCTACGGAGACGTCGCGACGGGTTCTCGCCGTCAAGGAGGCCAAATTCGCCGTTACAAGGATACCCTGAAGTCCTCCCTGAAGCGCCTGCAAATCAACCCGACCAACTGGGAAGAGCTCGCTCGCGATCGCCCGACATGGAGGAGGACAGTGAAGACAGGCACTGCTATCTACGAAGCCAACCGCATCGCAGCCGCCAAAGTGAAACGCGAAGCCCGCAAATCACGACTTCGCCCAGTCCGCAACGCCGCCGCACAACCTCTCCCTACGTGTCCTCGATGCCACCGGACATTCCGGGCACGAATCGGACTTGTTGGACATCTTCGGATCAACTGCACCTCTCGAACTACTCCAGCCATCGTCCCCCCGCCCGCCTCTTCCTCGTCCTCTCTGCCGCCAACTAACTCTGACACTCCTTCTGCACCACCACTTCCATCCTCCCCCTTCTCCTCCACTGCCCCAGCGGCGGCCGTTCAGACTGCCGCCTCACACATCACCAACCCCAACACAACAACCGACATCACCTCTCCCACCTCTCCCGATTCCAGTGATGAGGATCAGGATTACACCTGCCCTCACTGTGACCGCACCTTCACCTCACACATCGGCCTGGTCGGTCACTTGCG